CGGAGACTTCACACTGGAAACGGAGAGCTTTGAATCCTCGGTTTTCACCTTCCCTACCTCCTTCCTGACACCCATCCAGCCATCATTCAAACTGAGTCCAATAACTGCGCTGCCTTAAAATGGCTGCCCGACTCATCGCAATCTCAGTGTACTTGAAAAACAAAGGACAGTCGAACTGAACAAAGCAATGGTGTATCACAGGGAATACAAAAAAAAACACTTGTTTTAATATTTAAAGATTGAAGAACAGTGTTTGCTTTTTGATTTTGTTTGCCTTAGAGAAAACCACTGCACAATGATTACTCTGCAATACCTGCCTTAGCTTGATGATGTTCTGCCTATCAGCGCCTGGCTGGGCAAATTAAATTATTATTATTTTTAAACTGTTTCTTTTTTTATGAATTGTGCATCTGTTAATAAATGTTTTTACAGAAGTGTACATTTGCTTATCGTATAAGTTCTTTATTGTTTCCATATTTTACAAGTTTAAAGTCCACGTGAAACGGAAGTTTTTATATGTTGATGTACTTCCAACGAGGTGTATGTACACAAACTCTTCATTTTCAGTCAGCCAGCTTCTGGTGAATTGTGCCGCCATTACAAAATCGCCACGTTTAAGATCTGATTTCTTTAAATATAAGTAATCTTCACTGCCTAATTGATGTACGATATTAAGTGAGTGTCAGATCAGACAAGAAGCACTGCATTAAATTTCAAGAGGGAGCCGTAGAGGAAGACATGGAGGCGGAATGAATTCAAATGCGTACAAAGAGCGTACATCTAACAAAGGCAGAATCCTAATCATAAATCAGGCAAAGTCAAGCAAACAAAGAGGCAGTCCAAAATCCAAAAAGCAGTTGTCAAAAACGCAGGCAAAAAGATCATAACACAATGACAAACACAACAGAAGGAACCGCTTTTTAAAGAAGTGAATCTGGCAATACTTTGCAAGAACAGACATGAACCATAGATATTTTACATAATATGTTGCATATGCTGTTGTTGTCTATTGGAAGAAATGCGTCAATAGAGCTGCCATCTTGGTACAGGGTAGCGCTCCTATGAAATGAATGCAGGACCAAGGTGTAGTGAAGGACTGTGGCCATACGGACCCACAGATATACACATATATCTATGATTGGAAGTTTTTGATTGGTCAGTGTGCAAATATTTATTTAAATTACGAAATTGATAATTTTAAATTAAAATGATCACTTTTCTACATCGAGAATTTAGTGTGAGTTTGGTGTTGCTTTGCCTTATGGCGAATGCAGTAAGTTACTGTATTATCATCAATAACATTACTTGAGCACAAAAGTTCGTAACAAATCAAAAATGATAAAAATATAGTAAATTAAATCTTACCTATGAAATGTTCTGCCTTTGTGCTTTGTTTATTGTTACTACACCCATACATAGTGCTAAAGTCTAGCATCTTCACACTGGATTTCAATCTTGACTAGTGCGGTTGAATGACATTTGTCCTGGGAGCTCTGTACCAATATGGCGGCACTATTGGCGCATGCTCTGGGCTCGTATGTGATATCTAGTGTATATATCTGTGGACATAAACTGTGGCTGTTTCTCAATTCCAAGAACACAGAGAACGAACTTGTGTTCTTGTGGAGATCGGTCTTGCCAGGTATCCTCGGAAGAACGAACTCGGGAGACTGCGAGAACGTATCCTGTATGAAATGAGATGCTGCATTCTTCCTGATGGTCACGTGACCTTCACGGGGTTTAAATGGAAAATTATTTAAACATTACATCAAACAACGATTTACTGTTTTTCCCCTTTTCAAAATATATACTCTGCATAAAAACATTATAAATATACGTTACACAACATAAATAAAACAGATTTTAATACAAATTTTAGCAAAACAACCTTAATGTGTTTTCTCCTTTATTAAGATGTCCATGGTAATGTTTACTTTCACCGGTTCATTTAGGGAAACTCCTGAGGTAAATAATTTATATCTCCGAACTGTAATAAGAAATCTATATAAAATGCTGCGCTACCTACCTCCAGTCGCAATGACTTCTGGGATTTCTAGAGCGAGTTCGGTGCTGAAGTCTGCATCGGTGCGTTCTCGATATCAAGAACACAACCGGGGAAGTTTCACGCATCCTCCTTACTTGCAACTCACTAGGCAACATCTGAATCAGCTGGGTATTGTGCGCGAGTGTTGCTGTTGATGTTAATATAATTTTAGAAATTTAATAATATTGTGATATTCAAGATTTGTAAAGTCATACAGCAACGGATGACTTAAAACAGCTACCACAAGTCTTTCCTCCATCTATAAAGTCTTCATAGTTGTCTTGACAACACAAACACTGACTTCAGGCACCAGTCTCTGCTTTCATTTGATTGGAGAATGAAAAAGACGTGACAAATAGTTGCCTTTTTTCAACTGTGACTGCATGGCCTGCAACGTCAAAAATGCGAGGCACAGCAGGCGGTTAAAACGCGAGGTGTGCAGTGTACATAAGCAGCGAGCAAAATGCTCACGGATATTAGTAAATCATTCAAAAAAGGTGCCTCAATAACTCATTAAGCGTGCTCAGTGTGATCAACCCCTTAGTCTGTTTAACTGATTGTATTTTAATTACATTACAGCATTGATGCTTTATAAGGAACCTTATAAAATTAGTCACTTAAACCTTGCACCCGAAGGTTAGAGTTAGCTGAAAACACTAGCTGTGCATATAACACATTGAAACAGAACTTTGAGTAGGGGGTGGGGCTTTCTTTTTTCACATCACTCTCTCATAGCAAACTAATGTTAAGAGGGGCGTGATTAAGAATATTGTGACTGAAACCAAAAGCAGAACCAAATGGTCTGATGTTGATTGAAGATTACCAAAACAGTGGACTACTAAAAAAACGAAGCTAATTCAACAATGTGGTAGTAGCAAAATAAATATTGTAAATTTTTATTTCAACTTTAAAACCAGTGCAGTCAGCAATAATTTACGCACTTTTGTTAAAGGAAATACTACCTATTGTCATACTGACAGACCAACGCTATCTCACAGCAATTCGTAACTTTTTGATTTATTGGCTAGTTTGTATCAATTTGTACGATCTAATTCGTACAATTTAGTACAATTTGCTCATCACCTATTGATGGTTGGTTTGGGTGCCATGCCTCCTTTTTAAAATTGTACATTTTCTTACTACTGAATTCGTACGAATTGGCCACTAAATTGGCAAAACCTAAAATACTTACGTTTTCTCGTGAGATCAGGCTGGACAGACAGGCCTTTAAGGTTTAAGGAGAGTTGCCATGTAAAAAGACACAACAGTGACCTCTGCTGTGACGAATGCTGTAGAAGTATATTTAGGTTATATACTTTTAAGTTGCAATTTTTCACAACACACACAAAAACAATGTGATTAATTTTAGCTTGTGATACATAAGTAAAGGTGAATTTGGGTCAAACAAATAGAAAGTGTATTATGAACATATTCGTTCAGTTTCCTTCGGCCCTGTCCCACAGTGAAATGAACCATCAACTTATCCAGCATGTTTTACACAGCGGATGCCCTTCCAACTGCAACCCATTACTGGGAAACATCCATACACACTTATACACTACAGCCAATTTAGTTTATTCAGTTCACACATGGCGCATGCCTTTGGACAGTGAGAGAAAACGGAGCACCCGGAGGAAACCCTCACTAACAAGGGGAGAACATGCAAAATCCACACAGAAATGCGAACTGACCCAGCCGGTACTCGAGCCAGCGACCTGTGAGGTGACAGTACTAACCAGCGAGTCACCGTGTTGCCCATCAACAGATTTATTAACAGCAAAATAATTGCAAATAAAGTTTGTGTGATGTAAGATTAAAATAATGACTCAGATATGACTCAAATATATATATATATATATATATATATATATATATATATATATATATATATATATATACACACACACACACACACACACACACACACACACACACACACACACATATATATATATATATATATATATATATATATATATATATATATACATATATATATATATATATATATATATATATATATATATTTATATATAAATGTTATTAGGCTTCAGACTTGCTATTCGCCACTCTGAACCCAGATGAGCAGTTCATTAATAAGAAGTTGAATAATTGTAGATGACAAATTGTAGTTGCTAGAATAATCTGGAAACGTTTTTTTTTCTTTTCTTCAGAACTTAGGTAACTATTCAGAACTGTACATAAAACTTTCCCAATTCCTTTAAAGTTGTTACAAAAGTTAGATGGATACCAGGATGCTTAGATTGATATAAAAAAGATCCCACAGAACACATTCCCAGAACATTCTTTTATGGCTCCCCCCAAAATATAACCTAATGGGAACCAAAGGGAGTCATATAAGAACGTTTGGGGGATGTAATGTTTGCTGGGTTTCCTCCATTTGATTATTTTAGGAAAAAAACTTTTATAATAAAATGTAAATTAAGATACATGTTTTATAATATTACTGTTGTGTGACAAACTAGTTTGAGTAAAACAGTTTTTCTCTTTTACTGTGAAAAAAGACAAGAACATTGAATTATAACCACATGTGCGACACATAGTACATTTATGTGAATCGAATAAATAAAATGGGAGATTAAAAAAATAAATTGAACGCATCAAACCCAGGACAATGATCTGTTATTAATAAATGATCATGGCAAGCTTTCCTCTTAAGTTTTTCTATTGAGAGCATCTGTCTTGGCGCCCAAGATGGACTGAACTATCTTTACAGAAAAAGGGGAACCGTTCAGTGACGAAATGTATATAAAACTAACGTAAAGCAAAGAGTTGATTAAAAATTCGGCTAAAGCACATATATTTACATTTTCTTGATAACGTAAAGTACGTGCGATCCATCTGCTACCGTTTTGAACATCTATTTTAAACAATAACGTCAAGGCTCCCCTAAAAGATCAAGTAGACTGACCCGCTCGTCCCGCCTCTGTCGCCATTTTGACTGTTATGTCTTTTGCGTGAGGGGAGGGAAAATAAAATTTGATACTACAGAAGAGTCAAAATTCAACAATTTTATCCGGTGTGCAGGATTTTTTTGTTATCACTAAAGCCCTTCTTCTCTTTGAGGAGGAGGGTGTTTAATTCAGCTTTATTTAATTGGTTTCTGAGGAGTGTTTTGTGCATAAACCGCCATGTACATTAAACAGGTAAGATGCGACTCACGCGTTGCTTGCAACATTATAATTTACGTGGTACATTGTGCAACTTAACAACTTTATTTTCCATCTTAAAGGTGTAAATGAGTTTTTGTTTATTTTAAGCATGCTCGGTTGTAAGTTTTTGCGAGTATATGGCCTGAAGTTAGCATTAGCTTTAGCATTAGCTGTCAAATCCCACTAAGCATAACAGTACCATCTATTATTCCGAATCCTTTTTTAAGTAGTCAAAAATCACTTATTATTATTATTGTTAATATTGGCTCCAGCCGTTGTTCAGTTGTGAGCAAACTAATACCTTAACGTTAGTTAAAAATAATAATTCTATGTAACGTCAGTCACTAATGCTAGTTATAAATTAACGTTATGTGAGTCACAAAAATAGTGTTAGTTACATGTCTTTGTTTATAAAGTCACGTTTTGCTTTCATAATATTTTGATTCTAGGCTTTTTGGCAGGTTATATTGTTAAATACATGGTTATATACTAGTTTTGTCAGTTACAAGTTGTTTGTGAAAGCATATTTTGATTTAAAGCATTGTGACTGGTTATGTTTTCATTATTACACTGAATTGATGTTATCTATATGAATGGATTGTGAAATCTGTTTTTCAGGTCATTATTCAAGGCTTTCGAAGCTACAGAGATCAAACTGTGGTCGATCCCTTCAGCTCAAAACACAATGTCATCGGTAAAACTCTTCCACATTTTAAATAAGACAAGTATTTACAGCAGTTCTGCAAATACTCAATCAGTATTGTATTTTATTCCCCTCTTTAATTGTCTAATTTAAAATGTTATCTATTTTTCAGTCGGCAGAAATGGATCAGGAAAGAGTAACTTCTTTTATGGTATGTAAAGAGTATTTATTTAAATTTTTGTTTTAGATCTAAGTAATATAAATAGATGCAAATACAGATTTTGCCGATGTATAGTCTGTAATAAGCATTTTCATCGCTCCTCAGCTATACAGTTTGTACTCAGCGATGAGTTCAGTCATCTTCGGCCAGAGCAGCGTTTGGCTCTGCTTCATGTGAGTAATGTTACACCCATTTGTTTTTCTTCGTTATTTTTTTTAAACGCATATCTGTTGTAGCACATAAGTCCTGACAAAATTGAAATGGA